TGCACACAATTTTCATTTTTAGACAAAAACAGGCTTAAAACTGAGTTACAAGTATTATATCAGAGAGAAGAATTGAGTACTACTTCTGGAGCTGTTCCACTATCCATTTTATTGAACGAGGAAGGATTAAATTGTACGTTTCAAGAAACTCTTAAGCTCTTAAGTATTTTAATCACTATACCGATGTCAACATCTGAAGCAGAACGCTCTTTTTCAATGCTGAAACGGATTAAAACTTTCCTCAGAAACACAATGAAGGAAGAAAGGCTTAGTGCTTTAGGAATGCTGTCTGCAGAAAAACATTTTGTTAGTGGCATTGAAAATTTTAATAATAAGGTAATCGAAAACTTTGCTACCAAAAAAGAAAGAAGAATGGACTTCATGTATAGAAAACTTTGAAGTTATAGGTACTTCTCCACACTTGTTTTATAATTTGGTGCGCGTGTGTAATTAGTTTTATTTTTGATTTTTTTTTGGACATATAGATTTATTGAACCTCAAGAACTTTGACCACTAACTATCAGGGGTAAGTTATAAGTTATTCTTTACAATTTTGAATCGATTCAAAATTATGGCTTCCATTCTGGCACTACCTCACTGAATTGGCACGAGCCGCCACTGGAACCTAGTGATATAATAATAATGACTTTATTCAGAAGATGATCATAGTATGGCGAAGTTTAGCCATGGCTACTCTACCACTCAACCACACTACAACCAGACATCACAAAACATTAGCATAACAACATGAATCAGTAGCTGTAAGGAATGCATTATAAAGGAGTAAATATAGTACAGGGTGATTCAGTTTATTGTTGCATAACTTCAAGATTCGATAGAACTTTTAAAATTAATGCATAAAGTCTATATAAACATGGGTCGAAAAATGCGTGGCTTCCGAAATACAGGGTGTTTAAATTTACTTTCTAAAATAGTTTTTTTTTAAATATTTCGAACAATATTCGATGTATAACAGTGAAAATTGGTATACAACGATTTTTTGGCACGACAAAACGAACCATGGGCATAGTTTTACTGTAGCCGCTAGAGGGCACTCTCTACTGTACCTGTAGTGTATTAAAATGACCGAAAAAATTTTCTTAGTGCAATTTTTTGCTTTTTGAATAAAAAAACTGATTCTTCGCACCTTCCAACATACAAAGCTCTCCTGTGAGTTTTCGTTATAGTTAGCCGTTTTTGAGATATTTCGATTTTTATGGTTCGATGCATTTTTAATTATTTATGGGAAAATAATATTTTTTTACATTTTCGATTTGGGCATTACAAGTAATTAAAATGATCGTTTAGATTGTGTTTTTAAACACAGCAATAATTCCTAACTCCAAATAAATACAAAAAACAGAATATTAATTTGTTTAATTTTCCAATATTATTTTTAACAAATTAAATTAATTATTTACAACTAAAATGCTATTGGATAGTTAGGACAAACATACAAAATCTAAAGTAGTTGCTCGAAATGTAAACCCAATTGTTCAATACACAATTCACATCTACGAATGATCGAACGTGGTATAGCATTATTCAAATAAGGCCTTATTTCATCACATGCATTCCTGATTCTGTCTATTAGCATATCTTTTGTGGTTACGGGAGTCTGGTACACTTTTTCTTTTAGAAATCCCCACACAAAGAAATCTAATGGATTTAGGTCAGGGGATCGTAGAGGCCAGGCGACTGGTCCTCCACGGCCGATCCATCTTTCTGGATAATTTTCGTCCAGCCAGTTTCCTAACTATTCTCGAATAATGAGCTTGACAACCATCAAGCTGGAACCAGGCCAATCTTCTTAAATCTAACATAACATCATCCCACATATTTGCATGTTCAGCCTTTAAAAATTCCAAGAAGGTCGCAGCATTTAACCTTGCAGACAAAAGGTAGGGTCCAAATAGTCGATTAAGGTAGATACCAATCCACACGTTCACACTAAATTCATGCTGAAAATTTCTTTCCCGAACTGCATGCGGATTTTCATGCGACCAAATATGTTGATTATGAAAATTTACCACTACACGTCTAGTGAAGCATGACTCATCGGTCCATAAAACGTTGCTTAAAAACTCCCTATTATTATCAGTTCAATCAAGAATCCACTGACAAAATGTGATTCTTCGTTCTCCGTCCCCTGGCTGTAGTCCTTGCACAGGTTGCAAATGGTAAGGACGTCTATGGTCATTTCTAAGAACACGGTGAACGTGGCTTGCTGAAATTCCCAAGGCACCAGAAACTCTCCTAACACTTGTGGTCGGATCTCTATCAAACTCACGCAGAATCATATGGGTAAATCTGCGCTGACGAACATTTATGTTTTGATCCCTTTGGAGATTTCCAAAAATATTTTCAATTATTTCGCGATGCACTCTTACAAATACTGAGCGAGTTGGATGTCGTCTGTTTGGAAATCTTCGTGCGTATTCTCTGGCTGCTTCTGCTGCGTTTCCATTTACAAAGCCATACACAAAATGAATATCCGCTAACTATTGACTGGAGAATAAAAATGGCATTTTTATAAAACTTACAAAAAAAAAACAGGTAAAAGAAACAAAGTTCGTGCATTCACAATTGCAACAAAACGTTTCAGGTTTCAACAGACAACAAAACTAACTGTCAACTAATTGACGTTTAACCTTATTCTGCTTTCAATTTCAAAAATATTTGCAGGCACAGCCTACTTCTAAAAATTATCGAGATACTGTCTTTTTAACGTTATTTTATCATAGATAATTAAAAATGCATCGAACCTTAAAAATCGAAATATCTCAAAAACGGCTAACTATAACAAAAATTCACAAGAGAGCTTTTTTATGTTGAAAAGTGCGAAGAATCAGTTTTTTTATTCAAAAGCAAAAAATTGTACTAAGAAAAAAATTTCGGTCATTTTAATACACTACAGGTACAGTAGAGAGCGCCCTCTAGCGGCTACAGTAAAACTATGCCCATGGTTCGTTTTGTCGTACCAAAAAACCCTTGTATACCAATTTTCACTGTTATATTCTAACCTGAAACTGTTCAACTTGCCGCTTGTACTGACGCTATCCCCACTTCCATTCGGTGCCGCCCGGTTGGGCCTTACTTTTTTGTCCCATCTCTTGCAGAATTCAATGTGCAGAATGCCTGGTTTCAGCAGGATGGGGCGACAGCCCACACATCCCGAGCATCATTAGGCATTTTGAGAGAACTGTTCCCCGGACGCTTGATCTCCCTTAGAGGCGATATTCCTTGGCCTGCGCGCTCCCCCGAACTTCAGAAAGCGCTTGCGGCAATGCTGTGATAATGGTGGAAAGCACCTTGCCGATATTATTTTCAAAACCACATAAAATAGAACTGTTTGAGTTGCACTTTTAAGATTTCAAAATAAATCCATAGTATTCCAAATAACATTTGTTTTATTAAGCTTTGAAAACAGGGAGACAGTTATGCCCCACCCTGTACATCAAATATTGTTCGAAATATTTAAAAAAACTATTTTAGAAAGTTTAAACACCCTGTATTTCGGAAGCCACGCATTTTTCGACCCATGTTTGTATAGACTTTATGCATTAATTTTAAAAGTTCTATCGAATCTTAAAGTTATGCAACAATAAACTGAAACACCCTGTATAATATGAACAAATGAACATATACAAAGAAAAGAAACAAAAGAACAAGATATCGCTCAGCAAAATGAATTTATCGCTCAATGTGCTGAGTCCAGAAAGTGCAACTTGACTGTCTTCTTGAAGCGCTGCAAACTTAAGCTCTTAGAGATAGCTGGTAAAGAATTGTATACCTTGACCGCATTATAAGTAAAGGACCTTTCAAAGACCGACGTACGATGTATCGGAATGGAAAGTAGATCATTGTGCCGCAGATTTAGAGTAATTTGGTTTCCACGAGGAATCAACTTACAGAGCAAATACACGGGTTTACCAGTTTCAAAAATTCTATGCACCAATGAAGCCATAGAGTAGTTGTATAAGCCGTCAACTCTGAGCCACTATAACTCCTTGATTTTTGAAGAAACGCTACTGTACTTCCGAAGCTAAAATATGAATCTGCAACAGTTGTTCTGAAGCTTCTGCAATTTTGACTTGCAAGCTGAGTCTAGGCATGGGTAAATGAGGACTAGAGAGTAAGCTAAAATTGATAATATGAGGCTTTCACACAACTTTTTACGGCACTTAAAGTTTAGAATATGGCGACTAGAATATAAAAGCTTCATCTTCATATAACTCGACTTCTTAATATTATTCACATGTAAGTTAAATCGACGATTTGAATCAAATATAACACCTAGATTCTTAGCATTATCACAAAATGGAATATCTATGTCGTTGATAAATAAGGAGACTCGATTTGTGATATTGTAATTTGAATGTCTAGGACAGTATGGTATCGCGGTGCACTTTGATGGATTGATGCGGAGACAGTGTCTACTACAATACGTTAATACGTTATCAAAATCTAGGTTAATTTTATACGATGCTTCATGTAAGTTGGATTCATTGAAACGAAATGTTAGCTGTGTATCGTCAGCATACATTTGAATGCAACAATGTTCTACACACTCATGCAGATCGAATGTGTATACTAGGAATAAAAGAGGTCCCAGTACTGAACCCTGTGGAACTCCTGATGACAGATACCGTGCATCAGAAGTTCCTCTAGATGTTTTCACTCTTTGGGTGCGATCAGTTAGGTACGATCTGAAGAAATTCAAAGGGGGGCAAGTAAATAAAAGTCTGGCAATCGCCACCTACCAATGGTTCGCTAATCGTATTTGTTAATTACAAATCTCCACATGCTATTTTTGTTGTATTTGTTGTTGTAAGCAGCTGTTTACGAGAATTTCGCCTTGTATGTTCGAGACGTTCAGTTTTCCAGAAAATAGTCAAAGAACAAAATAATCTTAGAGGAGTAGTAAATGCCAAATTTAAATTGTTTATACATATCCCATATTTTTGATACATCCTGTATGATACAAAAGGAAAACTTACCATCAAATCCTTGATCTGGCTCACCAGAGGTGAGCTAGAAAAAAAATTATTCACGGCGGAAAACAACTTGCCCTCGAACTTCGCCACTTTTCTGATGATCTCCTGAACTTTTGGATACAAATCTGAAAAACACATTGGCACCAAATGAAAATTTTGCAGATCTGTACCAGCAGAATGACGAGCACACTTGTAGCGTTCGATAACAACGATATTGTTTATCTGTATTATTTTATTGAGATAAGTGTTCTTGAGTATTTACAGCCAATTCAATCTACCATTTTTTTGTTGACGGAAGTGCTCTAAATCGGACTCACGATTTATTGGTTCTGCATCGTCTGAAACTCCATTTATTGACTAGTGTAAATAGTAGTTTACGTATCAACCGCGTGACAAGTTACTTGTTTGTCTACAATTATGTGTATTGATAGTGAAAAGTATTTAGCGCAGTACTGCAATTTTATTTATTTTTCCTAGATATTTGCAAGTAAGCCTTTCTACCTATACAGGGTGATTCACAAGTCGTGAACAACAATGAAACATCATACACAGGACCGCATTTTGAGGAGGGTCTTCTATGTAACATTGTTCCTCGAGCGCTTCATTAAAAAGGTGTTGAAGTTTAAAAATAAAAAACATTTTTTTTAATATCTTCAAAACTGTCAACTAGAATAAACTAAAATTTGGTATGTAGATTGTCCATATTCCAAAGTTTTTACTTAAAATTAACGTGCAGCAGTGGCAGAGATAGAGGGGATTAGTGGCATTTTTTTTCCAACTAAAAATAGTAGGACACTGTTTTTTTTTTTCGAAACGCGCAATTTTTCGAATCTTACCTTCAATTTGCTACAAATAATTACTCTTGTTTTTTTCCTATAGTGCACTGTTTTCGGAAAAATAAAATTAAAACAAATTAGATCATTCATGAAGAGCCGAGATACAATTGGTTTCAAAATAAAATAGGAGGCCTTGATACAAACTTGATGTTTCTCGGGAGATAGTTTAGATGTTATAAATACGTTTTTTTTTTATTAAAAAGATACCGCACTTGTATACATCTGAATGGTAGTCTTTTTGAACATTTATTGAAATAAAGCTTTGATTATCTAATTTGGTTTTTTTTCATTTTCACGAAAACATTGCAAGGAAAAAATACAAGAATAATTATTTGAAGCAAATTGAAGGCAAAATTCGAAAAATTACGCGTTTCGAAAAAAAAACAGTGACGTAATATTTTTATTTACATACCAAATTTTAGTTCATTGCAGTTGACGGTTTCGAAGACATTAAAAAAATTGTTTTCTTTTTAAACTTCAACACCCCGTATATTTTTAATGAGACCTCGAGGAAAAAATGTTACATAGAAGAACCCCTTAAAATACGGTCCTGTGTATGATGTTACATTTTTGGTCACTATTCGTGAATCACTCTGTATATATTGTTTTAAGTAGCAAGATTGCTCTTGCTAATGAAATTGGTACGTTTAGGTCTTTAATTGAGATACTATTCGGTGAACAAGTTTTTGGTTTTACGAAAGTAGCTTTTTTACAATTATAAACCCCTCGCCCACCAAAGATGTTACCCCCCCCTCTTATGCTTACATAAACATTTTGGTACAATTTACTATCTATTTAGCTTTCACGCACATGTTCTGAATATCATTCAATGTCTGGAAAATTAGGTAGATCTGGTCTGCCCGACCCAACATCCTTTACACATGATAACCATCAATTTCTTCAATTTTCTTAGGGGGGAGGGCGATGACCAGCATGACCTAGCTTTTTGTGAAAATGTACCTGTCCCAAAAACTTTTTGAAAAATGAGGGGTAGCAAGTTGTCCCAGGCGGGGCCAGATCCTACTGATCCTCAAAACTGAACACAACATCATGCTAAATATGCAAATTCTAAGGTCCATCCACATTCCCAGGGAAGGCCACGCTCGTCCCCCTGCCCTCCTAGTGGGCGCCCATGCCTCAGGTAATACATTTCCGGCATACTCAAAATTGGATCTTTCTAAATGTTCATTAATTATAACGCAACGTTCATCCAAATGAAACCCAGAAGGCAATATGAAACTAGTCAATTTCCAACTAAGCATCCTGCGCTTTACTCGGTTATACGCATTTCTTCCAGGAGCATTTATAGATGCTTTTCGGTTTCGACCATAGACATGTAGGGTTGCCATATGTTTTTAAATCAATTCCAATAAACTTTGTAGAAAATTCGAAAAACTAAAAAATAAATACTGCTGATATAATCACCATCCAGACCCTCCACCCAACCCCCAAGTTATCAAAAATAAGCAACCGAAGACCACCCGCCCCTCTTCAGTGCTTAGGTAATACTTGAATGGTCCTCTTTTACTTGTTTAAGCCCGCTATCTATCTACCAAAACGAATATGGGTATCAAATGAAAGGACTTAGGATAAAAACACAATTATTAAATGACGTCATTCTAAATTCCATACTCCGCTTGCCCTAATAATAGCAGGGTGAAAACATTATAGTTTTAATTTCTCCAATCGGAAAAAAAAATTTTTTTTAGTTCGTTTTATTAACAGCTAAATACGTATAGTCGAAATCACGAAACTTGACGATTAAGTCATCATTTTAGTCTGTAGTAAAGATAAGCGACAGCGATTTGTGAATATATTTAACGACGTTTCTGATATATTAGACAGAGACAAACAGAATTTTATTATCTAAACAAACTGTATTGCGAATTTGCATGTATACATCCGACAAAGATGGACGATGCTTTCATGTTGCATGATCGATATTTGAAAGATGAATAGTGAGGTTATGTTAAAGTAGATTAGGTTGTTTTCGAATAATACTTTGGTCTTTAGTGTTCCTGTCTTAAGGTATTCTACTCATAACTGTTTTTTTCAAAATAAAAACTCCCCACTAAAATTATTATTGAGGTATCACTCAAAACCACGAAATAAAATGAAAATAAAAATAATCAGTGAAATAACCTAACTTCGCAAAATCATAATATAAATTTGTTGACATCATGTTTCTGACATCGTGATTTTATCATCGACGTACGTCCATTGATTACTTCAATACAATTTATGATATGACGTAACGGTCATCTTTCGTGATTTTGACTATATTGTGTTTTCACCGCACATTAGCTTCGTCATTTCAAAGGTAATTGTTTCTGAAAAGGAAAGTCCCAACTTTCAGGGAACCTTGTTATACTATATGCTTGTTCAAGAATAAAATCTCAATTAATGGTTGACAAATTTTACTAGAGGTACAGTTCTGGAACCTGTTTACAAACGTCGAATATGTTAGTTTTTCAAAAAATATTTTTTTAGAATTATCGTCAACAACTAATTATGAACGTGTAAAGTACATGATGCTTGAAAAAATAAGCGTTATAAATGTTATATGTTTAGCTATTTCTCAATTTTTTTTTATTTCGATTACCAAAATGGAGTCCGGTTTTAAGCATTTCCTCTACTGGTGAATATACTGTCAAGTGCCAAATTGCAGTCTAGACTAAGGCTGCTCAACTCCAAAGTATGGCATGTTGAAAAAGTTCTAAGATCCATTTTCCAAAAATTGTTCACTTCCAACTATGTTCAATTGATGAGCGAAATAAAAGCAAAATTAAATTTATTTTCACAGAAAATATTTTCCCACATCAAATTATTTGGAAGAGAAGCTCAATATTGCTACTGCCCATTGTTCTAAGTACAAAACTAAGATTAGGTGCTTATTACAGTCGTTTGAGATCGGATTTCAGGACACTGGCAGTAAAAAACATAATATACAAATTTTTATGAATTCTCTCAAAAATAATCATTTTGACTGGAATAATTAATTGAACTGCCAATATTCAATTGGAACTTACTGTACTACAAAATTATTATGCGCTAAAAAAAATCTTTTCGCCGTAAAGTGTCTTTGAAACTTCAGAACGTCTTGAAGATTTCTGAATATGTTGACCAAAAGCCGATTTCTTGGCAATAACTGACTTAGCGTTACAGTTTTCAAGTAGTTTTGGATCGACACGTTTTCAAGCCTTAATTATGTAAAACATAAATACCGCACATATTTCAATATTGGATTTGATGGCTAAAATGAAAAAAAAATTATTGCAACAGAAAAAATGTCAGTAATCATTGATTGTATCACCTTATTTATATATTTGATTTTTCATTGTATAAGTTCTTAGATTAAGTAAAATAGAAATCGTCTGTGGCCCGCCGCAAATGTCTGATTGCAAAAAAGTTGAGCAGTCTTGCTCTTGTTGTGTGCTTGGAACATTTGGGACTCAGAGCTTTCTGTTATTTGTGTAAATTCCATTATTTTTTCTGTAGTAGCAGTTTCAATGTACTCATCAATCACCATACCATGTATACCAAAATGTCAACAAAGCAACACCTCAAACTCAAATTCAAATACACATCTGATGAATATCTATCTTACCGAACTCCATACTTCACCCTCTAAGGTCTACTGAACAATTATCAATCATGTCAAATATAAACAAATATACTGAATCAGTTACTTCTTCTGGGTGACATCGAAGATACTGAAGAAAGCAAACAAAAGAAGCAAAATACACAAAAACAAACGAACAAAAACTAATGGAGAAGTGTGTATATGAGAGCATATTCAAAGTGTGCCAACTCTTTCTTACCTACAACTACTCTCGAGATAGTCTATCTCACGTGATTCCACTACACCATCCTTCAAGTTCGAACTCGAGATAAACACTACTGCATCGGAGTTACAGAGGGTTGTGGCGAGACGCTGAGGGGTGTGTCGGAAAACTCCCAACATCCCTTCCACGGTGTGACCGCGGAGAAGTTGCGGCATAGATGCCACGTTGCCGGAAAAATCTTCAACTAGGCTTAATCATGTTTTGGGGGGCGTTTTCTACATAGTCAAAATTATAATCACCAAGAAATCAGAAAACAAAATATAATGTGTACATTACAAAAATGGCACCAAGTAGGTTGACTCTATACTTACCTCGGAAAATGAATCAAGTCAGCCAAATAGGCCCATACTATTAGTCTCGAATTCCCTGAAAATTGGACTGCTTCCTACAGTTTGCATATGACGTATTCAAGATTTGTCTCACTCTGAGAATAATTGCTCTTTCTCTCTTCATAAGTAGTATGTTGTGATTTCTGAAAATTTCGATATATTTGCAGTCAATGACGCAGATGAAATAAATTCAAATTTCTCAAATATTCCGATCATAACAAAGACATAAAAGCAATAAGAACTACTGAACAAATATCAAAACAATAAGTTTCCCAAGTCATTTTGTTTTCAAAAGGTTGCCAAAGAATCTGTTGCGGAGTTTCTCATTTATTAAAACTAATGCTCTAGGGGCTGATGGAATCTCACTCGTTATGATAAAATACATTTTCACTTTGCTCTTAGACCATATTACATTTATCATCAATCACGCAATATCAACATCCTGTTTCCCTGATGCTTGGAAGCGGGCTATCGTCATACCTATTCCTAAAGTAGCGATTCCCACGTCTGTAACGCAAGTCCAGTCAGCTTACTTTCAGCATTTTCGAAGCTTTTGGAACGGGAAATGAAGATACAAATGACTCAGGATATTTTCAGTAATGAAATAGTTCCATTAATGCAGTCTGGATTCAGGGAAAACCATAGTGCAACAACTGCTCTAGCCAATGTCACTGATGATGTTATAAGAGGCCTTGATCAAGGAAATATCACTTGTTTAGTTCTGCTGGATTACACAAAAGCTTTCGATATGATAGACCCTGAAATTCTGCTACTTAAGCTGTCTTACTATGGTTTTACTGACGCTGCAGTCAATTTGAAGCAGTTTTATCCAAATAGGCAAATAATATCTACTTCAGTAAAGCTGGAACTGTGTGAAGCATTAATTATATCAAAGATCGGTTATTGTGACAGCATAATTATAGCCCCGCTCTATCATAATAGTGAACAAAGCAAATTACAGCGTATTCAGAATTCGTGCGTCAGATTTTTTTGCGGAATACGAAAGCTTGATCATATTTCTTATAAATTTAAGGAACTTGGTATTCTGCAGATTAAAGGCATGCAAAAACTTCGCTTATTGACACTCACACATAAGGTCTTAGCTACCAAACAACCACAATATTTGCATAATAAGTTAACAGGATGTAGTGACATAAATCAACTGAATACAAGGAATAGAAATGTTTCTAAGGCTGTCTACAAAAAAATTATTCAGCTACAACGCTATCAAATTATATAATGATCTGCCTGTAACATTCCAAAACTATATTTAATTTTAAAAAGAGGCTTAAACTAAAACTACAAGTCGAGGTCTGATGATGAATACAAAATGCTAGAAATATGGACTATTCTTGTAATTGTTCTGTTTTTTGTTGTGTTGTTAATTATTAAGTAATTATTGAGAATTATGGATACATTTTTATTGGTGGAATGTTTTATTATATATTTTGAAAAACGCTAATCTTAGCGACACCTCGCCTTTTTTGTACTTTTACTTAGGTACGAAATAAAGCGCATTTATTATTAGTATTGTTATTATTATTATAAATCGTGGTGGCACAATATACAAAATGTTTTATTTTGACAAGGTCTAATCGGCCTCCCTGAGAAAAATAGCTGCGGGAGCCTATATGTTTCAGGTCCTTCGATCCGATGCGCTGTTGATGGCTACCCAGATCCAGCCAACTTTGCAACAAACTTATATTTTTTATCGGTGGTTCGTTTCGTCTTAACAGCAAATCTACGCGGAAATCTATGCATAAAATATACCTGATTAGGCGTAGAAATAGACTAGACACCACCAGAAAAATTGGGATACATCCTTGAATTGACAAGTCGGCGCGCGCGTATTCCGCCGTATTCAAATGGATGCCGAATTAGCACATGCGTTCGGTATGTTTTGCTGCTCTCTTCCTTTTCGGTATCCACGTATACCTCCTCCCAGGCCGACTTATTTGACTATAACATGTGATGTTATGCTAACTCATTTGAATTCCGTACAGTCGACAGCGATTTCTCTTAGATACATTTGCTATGCTTTATACTCAAAGCGTCGTGTAATTATTGATGGTGTGATGTGGCAACTCCGCCTAAAGGCTTCATTCAGCTTTTTAAGGGAAAATCAAGCTTTTTGTTGTAATCAAACTACCATTATCGTAGCCGTTCGTCCTTACAGAAGGGGAAAGAACAAATTAATGTATTTTTGGTCAACAGATATGAGTGGGCTTTAGAGTGGGCGATATTATTTTGTCAGCGGCGTTACCTTTATGCTTTTCAAATGAATGTTTTTATCTATATTATATACAGGGTGTTCCATAATTATTGCGACAAAATGATAGGGGTTGTAGAGGGTATAAAAATATGCAATTTTGCCTTATAAACCCCTGTTCGTAAATATGCCGTTTGAGCACTACCGCTAATTTTACCTTAAGAGCTCATAGGAGAAACAAAAAATTCACCAGCTGCAAAATGTTCGTCTAGCACATTTCATGGTCTCGCCGGTTTGTAAAAAAGCCTGCTGTGTTTACATTTTTGTTATCGTAAATTCTCCACACCGATTCATTTAATTTATCTGAGTGGTGCGTCAAACTACGTATAGATAGTAAATAACAGTACCTTAGTGTTAAAATGCAGCGTTCTTCGTATGCGGAACTTGCGGATATGCATTTAATTTTCGAAGAAGCTGGTGGTAACGGAAGACGACCCTCGCGAATCTACGCCTAACGGTTTCCAGAACGTCCTCATCCGCATCACGCCATTTTTGCAAGGATTTATGGAGTTGAGGCAACCAAACTTTGGTCGCTACGTTTTGTTCACTGACGAGTCCTGTTTTACAAAGGACGGTTATTTTAATAGCCGTAACAGTCACATTTGGGATGTAGAAAACCCTCATGCCATAGCCATCCATAGAGACCAACATCAGTTTTCAATTAACATCTGGTGAGGCATTGTGGACGAGCATATCATCGGGCCATATTTGCTTCCACCACGTTTGGATGGGCATGCTTATGGTCGATTCTTACAGCATGTGCTACCGGAACTATTAGAAAATGTGCCACTGAACATAAGAGCCCACATGTGGTTTCAACACGATGGCGCTCCAGCCCACTTTTCTTTACAAGTGCGGCAGTATTTGGACGACAAATTTCCAAATAGGTGGATAGGCCGAGGTGGCCCTGTGCCTTGGCCTGCGCGGTCACCCGACCTGACCCCACTGGATTATTTTCTCTGGGGCCATCTGAAAGCTTTAGTGTACGAAACTCCTGTTCCCAACCAACAAGAGCTACTGGGAAGAGTGATGGCCGCGTCCGCACATGTTCAGGACATACCGGGGGTATGCCACAGAGTTCGCCGATCATTGAACAATCGTGCACAGCTGTGTATTGAGCAAGGTGGAGGACACTTTGAGCAATTACTGTAGGTAACCTGTTTCAAGAAACTGATCTTTTTTTTTGTTGCAGCCCAAACGGCATATTTCCGAACAGGGGTTTATAAGGCAAAATTGTTTATTTTGATGCCCTCTACAACCCCTATTATTTTGTCGCAATAATTATGGAACACCCTGTATATGAAAATGTGAATTTCTGTCCAGTTTATCAGCATCGCATCAGAACCATAATACGGAGAGAGGTCATCATTTTAGTCTGTAGTAAAGACAAACGACAACGATTTGTGAATATTTTTAATGAAGTTTCAGATATACTAGACAGAGACAAACAGAATTTTATTGTCTAAACAAACTGTATCCCTAATTTGCGTGTATCTGACAAAGATAGACGACGTTTTCATGTTGCATGATCGATCGTATCTGAAAGTTGAATAGTTAGGTTATGTTAAAGCAGGTTAGGTTGTTTTCGGGTAATACTTTGGTCTTTGGTGTTTCTGTCTTAAGGTATTCTACCCATAACTGTTTTTTTTTTCAAAACAAAAACTCCCCACTAAAATTATTATTGAGGTATCACTCAAAACCATGAAATAAAATGAAAATAAAAATAATCAGTGAAATAACCTAACTTCGCAAAATCATAATATAAATTTGTTGTCATTATGTTTCTGACATCGTCATTTTATCATCGACGTACGTCTATTGATTACTTCAGTACAATTTATAGTATAACGTAATAGTCATCTTTCTTGATTTTGATTATACAAATTTGTACACTTACTAATTGAAAGCAGAAGCTGTTCATATGGATAAATCAAAATATCACGAAAAATGCGTTTCCTAAAGAAAACAAAGTTGAACGTGACCTTGATTATGGCCTTCATGATCATTTGAGATGCAAATTGCGAACCTATACCTGCAGGGTCATTTTGAGATAAAGACAAAACATTGAAATTAATTAATGTTGCACTAAAATGTTGGATAAGAAATGTCTTTTGCCAAAGAGTAAGTGCACATTGCATTACTTTGAATATTGCTTTTTTTTCTTCAAAACCAATCTCCTTAATACTAACGCAAAACGACTGACCTATACTTTACACTACTTCCATGCGAGCAGATCCGCGGGTTCAGTCTTTTTTTTTTCTTAGTAGCTCTAATAAAACGAAAAAAAACGTTAAAATCGATTATTCTAGTAGTAGAAAGGGGTATATTTGCCTAAATAAAATTGAAATATTGCGAATTGTTAAATCCATCCCCAATTTCCACGCTACTTGCGAAAAATTTCGAGACTGGTGGAGGGCATATCGCAAATTTTTTGCGTTAGTATATTTATAGGGTGTCAGCCTGGTAATTCAACTCGCATGTTAGAGGTATTTCATACATGATAGAGTTCCCCGTACATTTGTCGTTGAAACTTATCATGATAGAGTCATATTTTCAACACACGCGTCACAGCAACTCGACGAACAAAGATGTACCTTCATCGAAATTTGACCGAGTCTGGCGAGTGGTGAGATTAGTTAAAGCAACGTTTCCAGGCGGTCACCCATTTAAATAATGACTATCATAACGTTTACACCCTGAATATTAGGAGCAGCATTGAAACAACAGTTTTTCTTAAAGACAGCACATTTTATCGACATTAAACAAGTCTACATTTTTTCTCTAATTCTCTAATTTATTTTACAGGATATGTTACTTAATGATAGACAATAACCATTATTTTATTGGGAACAGAAATATACTAAGTGACATATAAATCCGAACACCCAGTTTAAATGGTTTTATTTTAATAAAATTTTGTATAAGTACTTAATGAAGCATAATAAGT